TCAGATTACTTAACGCAAATTCTTCATTCAGTGGTGTAGTGGAGGGTAAATGCACATAAACGCCATTTACGCACCTTTTAAATTTACAAAACAGCGTCTACTCACCTTTTTTGAGATCACTAATGTTAAGGATATAAATAGTTACCCACCGTTTTTACTGCTGTACATACAGTTTACCCACCTTAAATTCCTTACCACTGCTTCATTTCCTCATGATAGAAATTTATAGTAATGTTGTAGTAATAAATGTTGTAGTAAGACCAGTTTTTGAAGGTCTCGATCTTGTCTTTGAATCAGCCGTATTTGTACTCATTCTTGTCATGGACTCGGGATTTTATTTCGAGACCACAACTCTGAGAATATTCTTTTCAATGAGCCGTTTACTGTCGGATTAGATAACTAATAACTTCAAGTGCAACCAATGGCGTTACTGCCGGCTGCGTTACCCGCCCCGTCCCTTCACACAGAAACTTGTTTAAATGAACGCAGGGGAAGTCGTGGTTGTCAACACAATCAACTATTATGTGGCTACAAATGTGGCTACATATACCACAACGTGTTTACCCTACCATTCTATTAGGGGGGTGCCCCAAGTTAATTTTATTTTATTTTATTTTATATATAGCGCCAGATCACAACAGAAGTCATTTCACATTTCATTGTTTCCTGTTTTTCTCCAGATAAAGTAGATTTACAGCAAAAAGCTGATGGGATTTTCCATCAGCAAATACAGACCCCTTGTGGTGGTACTCCACACTGTGGTTAGGTGCATCCTGTTTGCTTTAATTATCCTTGTGATGTGTCTAGAACTCTGATGCAAATCAACTTGATTGGACATAGATTGGAAAGGTACATACCTGGGTATACAAGGGCCCCCAGGCACACTCACTGTCAGGACAAAAACAAAGCTGTGTGTCGCAACAAGAGGAGAAGCAACCAAGAAGCAGCTGCCTGGGGGAACTGAAAGGGTTTATCTGTAATAACCAAAACTCAATAAGCAGAAACAAAAGGGACCACATGGGAACAGGAGGTACTGGGAAACTTGCCACAGCACACACTAACTATCACGAGGGAGAATGGAGAAACACTAACCTCCAACTCCTCCTGCTCCATCCTCCCTGACTGCTGAAGACTTTGCCAACTTCTTTGACAAAAGGATTAGCGAAATCTGCCAGACATTCTCTCCCTCCCTATCCACTACACTACACACCTAGGATTTCCCTTCCCCCTCACTGACCCAGTTTTCCAGTCTTACGGCTGATGAGATCATGAAAGTCATTTCATCTTCCAACCCTACCACCTGCCCACTGGATCCAATCCCTTTCACATTGCTCCAGACAATCTCTCTAGACCTTCTCCCCTTCATCACCACTATCATTAATGGCTCCATAACTTCCAGTCATGTCCCACAGCATTCAAAATAGCCAGGGTCATTCCCATCTTGAAAAAACCCACTCTAAATCCCTCGGACACTTACAACTACCGACCAGTATCGCTTCTTTCCTTCCTTTCAAAAATCCTCGAACACATAGTCTACAACCAGCTCTCTCTTTACCTCTCTCAGAACAACCTCCAGGATCCAAATCAGTCTGGCTTCAAAGCAGCTCACTCCACAGAGACTGCCCTCTTAGCAGTCACTGAGAAGCTGCATGCTGCTAGGTCAGCCAAACTGTCATCTGTCCTCATCCTTCTTGACCTATCAGCAGCATTTGACACGGTTAACCAAAAGACTCTCCTGTCCATCCTTAGGAGTCTTGGCATTGGTGGTTTGGCTTGGCAATGGCTTGCATCCTACCTCGAAAGCCGATCATACCGAGTGACATGGAAAGGACTCACATCTACCCCACGTAGTCTCTTCCCTCAGGGCTCGGTTCTTGGCCCACTCCTGTTCTCCCTCTATACCAAAT